TTTTAAGTCAATAAATTTTTATTTAAGGAATTTTATATATGATTCTTTCCACTGCCAATCACCTAAGTTCCTCCAAAGTCAGAATCATAATCTTTAAAATAGTCCTTTTGAAAAGAACTTTTGGGGCACCTGGGTGGCTCAGTGGGTTAAGTGTCTGACTCTTGATTTTGGCTCAGGTCAGGCTCTGCCCCAAGCGTGGAACCTTCTTGAGGTTCTCTCTCTCTCTCTCCCCCTCCCTCTGCCCCTCCCCCTGCTTGCACATGCATGCTCACTCTCTAAATAAATAAATAAAATTTTTGTTCAATCCATGGTTGTCACTGTCAGTCCACAATTCTTTCACTTGGGCGTCTTTGATCTCTACTTGAATATGGACATATTTCAGAAATTCCCCACCTGTAATCTTTGGGATCCACTTTCTTTACTTTAGGGCCACGTTTAGGGTCAGAGTAGATGGATCTGCCTGCTTCTCAACTTCAGACACCCCCTAGACTGTCACACTCTAGAATTGCAGATTGCAGGAATTGGCCAATGCCTGAGGTTTAAAAAATGTGACTGTTAGGTCTTTCATAGTTTTAGACGATCATGTCCTGTAGTTCTTTCCCACGGATCTAACACACAGTTCTGTGAATAAAGGAAACCACACGTGTTCTGTATGAGGCGTTCCCAACGATGTAGTAGGTCTACAGAAAAAACCCCATCAGGATAAACCTCAGCTGCTTTATTTATTTATTTGTTTATTTATTTAACATAGAGAACTTTAAAGCTTTATTGAAAGATGTTACAGAACAGGTCCTCTCAGTTACTTTTTTTTTTTTTTTCCAATTTGGGTTTCTTATATCCTTCCCCAGTCACTTCTCTTTGGTCCCATCTAGTCTCACATCTGGTCTCTCCGCATCCGAGCTTGCCCTCCTAGCCCATTCGTTACAAGACAGCGGTCTTTCTAAAACAAAAACCCGATTGCCCCTCCTTCCTTTACCTAATACTCCCAGCGCCTTAGGATAAGGTCCCAGCTCTCTCCCTGGACAAATACTCTCTACCTGATGTTATGTCCGTTTGGATCCATCACGTGAGAAGGCGTGCCATCTCTTTGTGTCCCATTGTTGGGGTCTTATTCTGATCACTTGGTTACAGCTGTGTCTGCCAGCGCTCAGGCACTGGAAGGGTATGTTTTCCCCGCCGATGACTCTTGCCTGAGTCAGTTATTACCATGTAAAATGGCAGTTTTCTTTCTTTTCATTCCTTCCATCTTGATCACTTGGCTTTCTTCATAAAAAAGAGTTTTACCTTCTCCCTGCTACTCCTTAAAAATTATTTTTTTAAATATCAGAATGGACTTATGGGGTTTTATTTTCATTCAATGTGTTCTAATCTGTGTGTGTTTCTCATTTTGATGCCCAGAATGAGCCAGTGGGAGCCCACTCAAGTTCACTTCGAGAAGTGTTCCCATCAATTTTTTGAGCACTTCCTTACTTTCTGTCACAGGAAGGTTTTGCAAGCTCACGTTGTGTTTTCCGGCTTTGGAATCAGCCATTTCTCCAAGGAGCGCTGTTTCCTTTCAGTGGAGAATGGTATTTAGAAACCAAGATTTGGGTCAGTGTGTTCATTACCCCCGGAGCATCCTTTCTGCTAGGCCCTCACAGTGAAAGAACTAGGAGATTTTCCCTTTTTTAAATAATGAGTTGGAAGAACTCTTGCTTACAGGAGAATGCCATCTCATTAATGAGTAGGAATGCTTGAGTTAAGCGAATCATCATTTGGCAACTATCATAGTAATAACTCGTTCAGGCAAGAATCATCGATAGGTGCTAAAACTCATTGGTGAAAGTCTGATGAGGAGCAAGATATGTAGTCTCAAAGTACCTTTTCCAAGATATCTGCTAAATCCAAAGGGAAAAATCGTTACAGTGGAGAAACCTGGCAGAAACCATGGTAACCAGGTGATCCAAGCTAACATCATCAGTAATGGGACATATCGATATTACGTGCCTCCTGATGGCAGCAGTGTGGGAGAGTACTTTATGGGGGAGAAGACAAGGTATCTTTTTATTCTCTGGTTTGGTTTCAGGCAGGGGCCCTTTCTCTTAGCGGCTCTTACTTCATTTGAAAATCAGAGTCTGGAGCCCAGCAAACCGCGGGCTGTCCCCGAGTCCCCCCCGATACATGAAAACCAAAATGTGAGACTCACCAAAAAAACAGCCTCCAAGGTGAACTCTGGGAGACCCGGTCCTCGTCCCCATCTTCAATCTCAGTGGGTTGAATCACCGTCAGACCACGGTGGACTGTCTCCTAGCCGTAGGAGGCTGGTGGGGAGTGCTGACGGCTTTCTTTTCAGCCACCTGCATTCTTCCTCCATCGTTCTCGGGTGACTGCAAAGGACAAGTGGCATCCTGTCCAGCTATCTGTACATGCAGCAGTGGGCCCAGCTCAGGCCCCTGCCAGGTCGGCCGCTGGGATTTAGCCAAGTCCGAACCTGTTAGAGTGGATGAGAACCCCCGCCGCCAGGAGCTGGAGTAGCTGAGGGTCCTGGCCTCCTTGGAAGCACTTGGCCTGAAGGTAGGCTCTGGTGACCACAGCTGTCACCAGGCACGTAGGCAGGTGCTGTCCTTATGTCGGGCTGCCCCCCACACTAGAGCTAGGACCATCACAGACGGTGGGGACAAGGCAGAGAGCCCTCTGTGCATTTACCACAAATGGTCACCGAGAGACCTTCCCGCTCCTAGACTTGAAATACATGTACGTAGAACCAAATGGTGTCTACTCTTTTTGCGAACGAATGATTTTATGTGTTTCTCAAAAGTTTGATAGAATTCATTAGTGAAGTCATCCTGGTCTTTTTTTTTTTTTGAAGTCATCCTGGTCTTAAGTGTCCTTCTTGGGAAGCTTTGTGGCTGTGTAGTCTCTTTCTTTAATAGAGACAGTGCCATTCAAATTCTCTGTTTTTCTGTCCATGACAACTTTTTTTAATTTAAAAAAAACTTTTTTTTTACAAAATTTTATTTATTTGACAGAGAGAGACACAGCGAGAAAGGGAACACAAGCAGGGGGAGTGGGAGAGGGAGAAGCAGGCTTCCTGCCGAGCAGGGAGCCCCATGCGGGGCTCGATCCCAGGACCCTGGGATCATGACCTGAGCCAAAGGCAGACGCTTAACGACTGAGCCACCCAGGCGCCCCCATGACACCCATTCACAGACCCTTTTCGTTTGGTTCCATGAGAAATCTGAAGCAGCTACTCAGCACAAAGACGTCCCTTTTCTGCAGATCGCTTCTTGTGAACTATAGGCTGAAGCTCAAGCCAGACACGTTCCCATGCCCCCTGCCTTGTTTCGCTTAGAGCTACCGAGTGGCCGTTACACACGACTGTGTGATTAAGACCAGAGTCCTGTTCTCTTGTAAATTCAGGCTCCCGTTCAGCACTTGTGTGCCCAGCCCACGGTTGGTGCTTCGGATTCAGCAGTGAGCGAGATGGAGTCTTGCCATTAAGGAGCGCGTGCTTCGGTGGAAGGAGACACAAAATATGGTTATGTGGGAGGTTTGGGGAAGGGGCGCCGTGGGGTTCGGGGGGTCCCTGGGGAGCACGGCGCAGCACTTCAGGACACACTGGTCTGCTTCCCTGTGAACTTCTGTAATGTGAGCTCGTGCACGTGTCATGGGTGGAGAGGGGGAGCATGCTGGTCCCCTGCAGACTGCTTTGGTTCATCCATGGTTTGGCCCCGGTGGAAGGGCTTGGGATCGTGGGAGTAGCTATCAGCAGGAAAGGAAAAAGCCCTCTGTTCAACGGCTGTGGCGCAGGAGCCCAAAGGGGAACAGGGAGGAAGAAAAAACCCATCTGGGCCGGCTTCTTCCGAAAGCCGTCTCCCAGCCTGGCCCACCGTGCCCTGCTTAATTACAGCCCCCTGGCTCTGGACAGCTCTTTCATCCGCCTCGTCCTGGCACTTCCCAGCCTTGCTCTAATTCAGGTTTTGCCAGAATTTCCACTAGATGTTTTGAGTGCATTTTTAATATTCACTGTGGCAGCCTCCAGCCCCGCCGAGCTGCTTGCTCGGGTGCTCCGAGTCGTTAGTGTTCTAGTTAAGACATTTTATAGGTTTTGAGGGGGTCTGTCCTAACCCAATTTCGATATACATCCTGTTATCATTTGTGGGCACTTTTAGGGAACATGAAGTTTTCCTAAAATGTATATTCACATGCTTTAAAGCAGAAATGTTTGTATTAGGAATACAATGCGACAGGACTCCACACACATCTCCCTAGAGCTGTGCGTCCATAAAGTGCTTTGAACACCTTTTCTCTCTGTTAAAAGCCCCGGCAGCCATGGGGGTGGGTTCTGCAGCCGCTTTTGTCCCCATTTCTCCGCCGCCAGAGTGCAGCCCTCCCTCCCCCCATCCCCTCCACCAGGGCAGCCACCCAAGGGCATATGTTGATCTCAGAGCACCCGGGAGCTGGGAATCCTGATTTCTAAGGCCAAGAAGGCGGCCTGGCCTGAGCGGGGGGTGGCAGAGCCTGGGAGGAAGGAGACCCTGCCCCAGAAATAGGCCAGCCCTTGTTGTGCGGAACTTGGCGATTCCGCTTTGCCTTATGTAACCTCAGTGTCCACACTGTTCCCTTTGTTGAGTCCCTCCTTGTGACCGTTTTTCTGTCAATCTCCTTAGCTAATGAGCCCCTTCGAGGGAGAACGGGTGGGTCACAGCCCAGCCCCGTGTCCAGCAGAGAGCAGCAGAGCCAGGACTTTCCCAGAACACCCCTTTTGTGTGGGAGAGAATTGCTTGTGCTTGTTTGGGATAATAAAGCTGCTTATGCTTCCTTTAGTCATCTCTACATTTTATTGACACCTCCTACGTTGGGGACCTATGTCCGGCTTCCTCAGCCTCACTGTCATGCTCGGTGCCCCCCCACAGCCGGGCAGAGACTGGCATAGGGGCAGATGGAGGGGAAAAACTTGACCCCTGCCTTTCGGGAATGTTTTGGGGACACACATGCGTGCGCGCGCAGGAGGATGTTGTGGGAGCCGCTGGTGTAGAGGGAGGAAAGCACGGAATCCGCAGGCCGGAGGTGGGGCCAGGGAAGGAGACAGGCATTCTGGAAAGGGACGGGGCCACAACGGCTGCAAGGAGGAGGTGAGAGGACAGGGCAGGAGGTTACTAGAGCCTTCGTGAGACGCCAGGGAGCCCAGGGGTCATCCCTGGTAGCATCCTGCTTGGTGCGGGGACACCTGCCTGCTTTCTCTAGCATCCCCGACTATCTCCCATCGGGGCCTGGGCCCGGGCATGGGTCTCGTGGACACCGTGTGCCTTTACGGAGCTGGAGTGCCCGCGTAAACGTTTTTGTCTTTGGAGCCCATGCTTCTCCTGTGGGTCTGGCTGTTCCTCCAGTAGAGTAAAGGAAGTCTCTGCGCTGCCTTTTAAGGACTGCTTACCAAGAAAGTAGTGGGGGCCTCTTGCTTCAAGCCCTCCATTCCCTCGTGGCCAGCTCCGGAGGGGAGGTCCCTGGAGCCAGCGAGCAGCTCCGGCAAGGGCAGATGTGTGCGGGGAGGAAAGCAAAGCGCTGCCCCCGAGGTGGGCCTGTGGCTCAGTGACCGGCGGAGGCGGGAGCCGGGACTGGGGAGAGGAGCCATCTGGTGCCGAGCAGGGAAAGGACTACTTGTGGCCAAACTGGAGTCACGTTAGATGGAGTTTGTGTCCTGACTGCAGTTCGGGGCAGCAGGCCAATAACGTAAGCCCTCTGAGCCTCGGTTTCCACGTCTGTAAACTGGAGCGAGCCCAGCTGTGACCTGAGAGGCACGGTCTGAGCGCGACGGGAAGGCCGCCTGGAGGAGGTGCGTCGGCGGCGCGGGCCCAGTGTCACGGCTGGGGGGAGCGGGTCTGCAGGCGCGGGGCCCCAGGACTTCGATCATGTGGTTCAAGCCAGAGTGGGAAACGATCTACCAGTTAGGAGGAAATGAGGGAGGAAACCTTGTTTTAGATGAAGAAAGGAATGATGAACTTTTCTTTTTTTTCTCCTTTAAAGTTTCAAGTACTCTTGGCACATTAAAGATGAAAATGGAGATGCGGATTTAGTCTCCTCTTTAGCCGAGTATTTTAGCGCTTCCTCTTGGTTCTCTCCACTCTCCTTTCCAGAGTCGTGTCCCGTTCCCTCCCGCAAAAGACACGCACCTTTGATGTTCCCGTTGTCCGGACACGCAGCCCCCACCCCCTGCCGCCCTTGTGCGCGCCCGCCGCACCTGCCACCCAGCCCAAGCGTCCGCACCCTGGTCTGAGCTCCTGTCTTTCTCACTCTTCCTCGGCCTCGCACTTGCACGGGTCGGCCTGCACCTCATCCTCAACAGGGGCTGCCGCACTGTCAGAACCACAGAGGCAGGCATCCCACCACATAGTTCTAGCAAGCTCCCTCTTGCCCTCGCTGAGACACCTCGGCCTCCCCGCTCCCTCGGGGGATGGCTTTTCTTCCGTGGCTGAGGTGACCACAGCTCTCAAAGGTCTTCTAGCCACCGGGCCCTCCCCCTCCTGCCCTGGCCTTGTCCTCCTCCTTCCTTCTGCCTCAGCGGCGTGTCCCTCCACACGAGCCCTGGACCCACATCCTCCAACCTCCTCAGATTCTCAGCCGCTTTAATAGTCTGGCCTTTTTTGTACGTCTTCTCTCTCTCTCGGGATCGTTTTCCTCAGGATACTAACATTCAGCATTCTCTTGCTCTTAATCCCCTTGATACTGTTTCCGTGTAACGAATTAAAAAACATCAGTGCATGGGAGGGGAAAAGTCCTAGGAATCATCCGCAATTTTTCATCTTCCTACATCCAACCTGTTTTCAAGACCTGTTGGTTTTCCCTCCAAAGGGCACATCTGTCGGCACCATCTTTGCTGTCCCCCTGGTCCACGTCAACAGTTTCTCTTGAATGCACCACCAAAAGAGTTTCCTAATTGATCTGCTTTTCTTCTTCCCTAAAATTCAGTCTCCATACCGTGGGCTTTACAAAACATAAATCAGCACCATTCCCTTGCTTAAAATAAGCCTTCAACAGTTTCCCACTACACTTGGAATATCAAAATTTAGATTCCTTCCCATGGCCTATGAGCTGGCCCCTGCCTCGTCTTAGGTCACTCAGTTCCTTTTGCTTCTTTAGGAAAGTACAATCCTTTCCTGTCTGAAAGCCTTACCATGCTGTTCTGACTAGAATGCTCTCCTCTCCACTCTTCTAATTTTTTAAGATTTTATTTATTTGACAGAGACACAGCGAGAAAGGGAACACAAGCAGGGGGAGGGGGAGAGGGAGAAGCAGGCTTCCCGCGGAGCAGGGAGCCCGATGCGGGGCTCGATCCCAGGACCCCAGGATCATGACC